AAAAAAAGATTCTTTAGATTGTTAAAATGTTCTTCACACACACACACAAAGAACTTTTAAGAACTGTTTATTGAAAGGTTATTTTGGGGAACCAAAGAAGGTTCTTCTATGGCATTGATGTGAAAACTGCTTTTATATAGGTTTTTCCTGAAAGGATTTTGGATTTCTTTTTTATCCTTTCATTCTTATCCTGGATTTCTTTGTCTGGGTCTTTCCTTAAGGTGATTTCAAAGTGTTATTGAAAAGAATTGCGTAAAAATGTTTGCGTTTCATAGACAATAATAGGATGTGTGCGTTTGGAATGACAGGATTTTCGTTTGTGGCTGAACTTTTCTTTTAAGAATGACTGACAAAGAAATGAATCGAGTAAATGAAAATAAAAGAGTGTGTGGACAGAGCTTATCAAACATGAGTCTTGACCTCAGAAAAAGCAAACACAGTGTTGAAATCTTGAATTGCCACTCAATGGATTGTCAACAGAAGCTGATAAATGAGTTCAGATAACGAACACTCATATGAATATGTCTTTTTGGAGTTTGATAGGTTTTTCATCTAGGTGCTAGTTTTGGATATTAGTCAAATAGCAATGCGACTTGATTCTTATATTACATGCGAACACCGTCAGCTGAGTGTGTCGCTGTTCAACAGGGCCTGTTTTTCAGCAAAAGGTAGGCCTTTTCTCACAGATATCGCCACTAGATCAGAGTAGATGTTTAAACCCTCTTACGCCTTAAATTAAAGTCTAATATTTCTAAAGGCTTCTCGCGTCCTTCCGCCCCCCTTCGAAGCTGTTGGGAAAGTGGGCCGCGGGGGAAACTAATGCACTGCGCGGGTCAAGCTTCACTGGCCGTCTCCATTTTGAAAGCCAGCCTTTGGTTTCATCGGCCTCCCGTAAGTTTGAGAAGGCCCGTACAGGGGTGACGGGAACATTTGCACACAGAGCCCGTGAGTCACGCTCGGACAGGCGGCCCGCGAGCGCTTTGTTCTGAGCTGTTTGGTGGCTTTTGTCTGGGGTACACCTTCCTCTTCCTCCTCATCCTCGTGTTTGTTCACCCTCGGGCCAGGTTCAGACCACCGAGATGTAATGTGAGATTGTGTCGTGCTCCAAAGAGCCTGTGGAGACACACACGTGGAAACTTAACTCTTTCTCTGTGTAAGGGTCAAGGAATCTAGCCTGCTGGTTAAATCTTAAAAAAATTAAGACATCAGAGCTTAGATAAGACTTTCTTTCTTTGACTAAAACCGCTGAAATATGACACATTCATAGGGCCATTCACACGATCTGATAACGTTTAACTCTGTGTGCAGCCGTGCAAACTCTACTTGCTTTTGCTGAAATGTTGAAGAACGCAACAAAGAAATTTCAGATTACATCTATATTTTATTTGTATACTGATGTTCAGCTGTTATATGTAATTGTCAACTTATTTTCGGATCATCAAAGCTCGGTAAACACTGGTCACAGATAAGCTGGTGTAGACTACCTTTAATTTCACCACACTTAATGCTCACTAAAAAAAACACGTCATGTTTTCAAACCATCTCATGTTTGATTTTGACGTGACATAAAGTGGTGATATCTAATAGTACATTTACATGACAACGATGTACTAAAATACTAGAAAAGTATTTTCTTTGGGTATTTTACACACAGACAACAACGTTGTCTAAAAAATGATCCTGTTCACACAGATCCGTGAAAACGACTAAAAACGCTGCATTATGCTAACAGACCAGTAGTTAGGGCTGGGTATCGTAACAAAATGTTCGGTACCGATACCGATACCGATACCTTGACTTCGATACCGGTTCCTGAACGATACTTTTTTCAATACCAATTTTATGTAACCAGGTTTAACAATATAACATTACCTAATTTTTATTTCAGTTTGTTGACTTTTTTACACTCATATTTTGAGTATGTAAAAAAGCACCAATGCTAAAGTTTTCTATGTTTCCTAATCATTTAACAACATGTATTCTTTACTTCAATGAGCTCATTGTTTCTGCTTTAACTTAATGCATTAATTACCGATGAAACTGAATGAAAATTAATTGAAATGCATTACACTGTCACCTCTGATAACAGATCACTCTAAATTGTAATTTAGACACATGCATTTTCGGTAAAGCTGCTTTGAAACGATATGTATTGTGAAAAATGCTATACAAATAAATGTGAATTAAATTAAATATAGGCTACTGGGGGGCGGGATATATACCTGCACGTGAAGCTTGCAGCAAAGCACTGGCAAAAGTAGCCTAATGATTATGGATGTGGAAACAATAGCAAGGAGATATTTTAATTGTTTATTAATGAACAAGTGTTTACTAATGGTGTGTTCACACCGAACGCGAATTTAATTATTTGTGCGAGTAGATTACATACATAGTCAATGCAAAGACGCGAATAGACGCATCATTCGCGCTGGGCGTCGCGAGTGACGCGCACGTTTGCCGCGAACGTCTTCCGCGCAAGTTGAAAAATTTGAACTCGAGCTGAAGATTCAAGCGTCGAACTAGACGCGATAGACGCGTATTTGACGCTCTATTCGCGTTCGATGTGAACACCATTACTCTCAAGTGTATTTTGTGCGCTTCAGTGCCTAGATTTACCGTGTTGCCGGTCGATCTTGGCAGCAATGATCTTGTCAAAAATATTGCATCGCGTGCATCTGGCATCGAGTCTGGCACATGACATAGGTACACTTTGGATCATTTCCACATATTTTCTATCTATCTGGGTTGGGACGCACGCTTACACACACACACACACACACTGCAGCCTCACGTGCGACGAGCCGCGTCTCTGGGCAGCCGCGTAAACTAGTGTTTTTCCGCCACAGCCAACCATGCTGCATGCTTATTGTTTCACTGACGTTGACGAGATTAACCACTTAGGTACCGAAATGTGGTACCGAAAAACAAGACATGTTTCGATACTCGGTAGTATCGAGGCAATTCGGTCGGTACCTAAAAAGTACCGAACTCGGTACCCAGCCCTACCAGTAGTTGGCGATGTCCCTTTGTAAAAAAAACCATTACGCGTAATACGCGCTGAACACATAATACACATACGTATGACGTTCACAAATTCTCGTTTTTGCAGTCCACACGAAGATTATGACGGTATCGGTTTCAAAAGTGTGCATTTTCAGGCTCCCAAAACGCCATTGTCGTGTAAACGAATAACTAAAACACATAAAAAGCGTTTCGTTTTTAGTTGAAAACGGTGTCCTGTCAACGTGGGTGAGTTGTTTACTTACTTTTTAATTAATCTTCCATTAACGCCATCGTTTATTCATTAACACCATTGTTTATTCATTCACACCGATGTGTGGATGTGGAATGGCAAGAAAACGAGAGGTGGGATTTATCGTGTGAAACTATCCTATCCAATAATATCCAATAATATCCAATCATAGCGCCATGGAGGCATTGCCTCCTCTCACGTGACATTCTCAATTACCCCCCACTAAACCCATCGCACGTTGCACTGCCTATATATATACACTCAGTACACTGTAAGTACACACGTACCGTAAAAAAAAATGCAACCAAAAATATGATATATATTATACAATTATATTATAATATATATATATATATTATAATATAATTGTATAATATATATAATATTTTTGGTTGCATTTTTTTTTTACGGTACGTGTGTACTTACAGTGTACTGAGTCTGACCTAAGAAAGTAAGGTAACTACAAGGTTAGGTTTAGGGGTAGGTTCAGTGTTAGTGTCTAGTTATTATTACCCAATTATTGTAATTACTATAAGTACATAGTATCAAATGTACATCGGGAACAGGACTGTAAAATAAAGTGATACCTCATTTTTTTTATATTTATATACTAGAAGAGCAAATATATAACCAATTTGGTTTAGTTTGAAAGACTAAACCAAAATATTGATGTGTTTAAGAAAAAAAAAAAAAAATCCAGTTAACCAGGAGAAACACCACCTTTATTTGATAATAAATTGTTTTTGGTCCATCAGAATGAATTAGTAAATCATTGTTTGTCTGTAAAACTTTGACATTTTAATAATAAAATAAAATTGTTATACATTTATTCTATAGTATTAATTGGATTGTCTCGGGCACTGAAATTATTTTTTATTTTTCTATAATTTTTGGTCTCATGACTACATCTTGTTGAAAATTGCGTAATTAAATAAAAAACAGAATAAGATATGCATGTGCTTGTGGTTTAGTTAACACACACACACACACACACACACACACACACACACACACACACGCACAAAAGTCTCCATGGTCACTTGGTTTTCTGACAACCCAGTCTTTATTAGATTTGCTCCCTGTGTACATATTAAAACGACTTTAAATCTATACAAAATTATTTTTTTTAACAGTTTTCAGAACAATCTGTGCTCTTACATTGCTAGTTTATTAGTATTCCTCCACAGAGACATAGACATCAGAGATTCTATCAGAAATGGTCTGTACAGTCTTAAATCATGTTTTGGGGGTGGGCAGAAAAGATCTCATGTTTTGTGATTTCAGAGTCAAGAACAGAAGGTTGTCGTTGTAGAGCCGCAGTCTTTCAGTCAGTGACACCCTGTGGACAAACCAAAGGAGCCAGGGCAGGTTTGATGGTTCGGCAACATTTCACCAGACCCGAATCGTTTGGTCTCCGGAGCTTTCTCAAAAACTCCTTCAGTTAGTTCTACTCTCTAGGTTTAATGCGTCACTTTCATATGAAATATATTTAGACTCTACGCAAACAGACAAATACACGAGGTTCGAAAAAATTCCAGACCCTCATTGTTCTTCATGCATTTTATGCATCTAACATTGGTAAAATGAATATATCAAACGTTCTAGAATTAGGACAAAGTGAGAAAAAAAAAAAAAGAAAAAAAAAGAAGGAATGTACACCAAACAGCCGAATAATTTAATCTGCATCCCAGAAGCCTTAGAAAGGAACCTTCACCATATGAGAGAGAAAGAGAGAGAGGACGAGAGGGACGTGTCAATGTGTTTTAATGGGACGTGAAACTCTGGTTATCATGACTGTCTCAGTTGATTCTTTTTACGTCTCTCCAGGAAAATTCTGCAATGAAAAAGAAAAGCAATCATATTTTAATAAATGATTATAACAATAGATCTGTTCCAAACAGCCTATGTAGACAGCATTTTAAGGCATCATGTGTACTATACATTTTTGGGCCGAATTCTTAATAGTTTATGCAAGTAAATCAACGAGGTCATGAATGTTCTTGTTCTTGTGTTTTTCTGGCAGTGACACTCCAAGACTCCAGGGGGCGATAATGTCACTTCAAATCTGCATTGGATATGCTTCAGGCCTACTTCAGGTAGCTTTCATTCCTCTTTTTGATTGAAAAATGATAATGATGCGATTTAAAATATGGTAGGCAATATCCAATTTACTCATCATATATGGAAAATTCTTTATCCACAAATGTAAATGGGCAACGCATCTACTTTTACTCATTTGAAAATGAAAGGTCTCTCTACCTTCATACATTAACAGAAAAGAGAAATAATGAAAGAAGTTACCATAATGCCTTAAATCTATACATTGATAGATGTATAATTGCTTATCAAGATCCTATTTACCCTGAAGTTCTTTATTTTTATTTTGTTTGTCTTAATATTTGATTTGATATAGGCCTAACTAATATGTTATAATTGCCTTTAATTGTATGTTCATTGTTCAACAGATTTTTTATCTTTGAAGTAAAAAAGAGCCAATCACCTTTTGAAAGAGGTAATGCTTGATGAGTTACTCATTTCACGTATTTGCATGGACAGTATTTAAGCATATTTGATTATCTTATTAAACCATGTTGTCAGATTGTATTGCTGATTTGAAATATGTTGTCTTTATAATCAGTTTGATTTCTTGTGCTTATCAGTGTAGAGGCTATTTGTGTAGTTAGCTTAGCAACATGTTAAACTCCATACTGAAAAGTGTCCATCATCTCATTAAAATAGATTATTTAATCCAGTAATTTTATGTCTGCGGTTTATTTTTGATGTTTATAAGAGTATTTACAAAGCAGCATGCTTATACCAAACTCTATTAGAATAAAAAGTTAGCTGTTTTATGTTCATGAGTGACCATTACAAATGTTTCTGAATGTAGAGCGTTTCAAACCAGTCACTTGTAAGGTTTCATGACATTTATAAAGTAAGGCTTTGTAAACACTACACTACATTATTATGAGGTATCATGACTTTATATCTCATATATTGTGACTGTATATATCCCAATGTGACTTTATATTTTCAGTTGTTACTTTATCTCACAATGTGACTAATGACTATATCTCTCAATTATGACTTTATATCTCACAATTGTGACTTTAAATGTCAAAATATTAGCTTTTTATATTGCACAAGTTGACTGTATATCACGCCATTAAAGGGATAGTTCACTTTGAAATTAATTTTTGGTATGTTTTAGCTTACCTCAAGGGCATCCAAGATGTAGGTTTCTTTGTTTCCGCAGTATTTTCAATTTTGATATTTTTAGGTCAAAGCGTTCTTGTCTGTCAGTGATATAATGCAGGTCTATGGTCACCACCTCAAAGAGCATGACCAGAGAAGTCCAAATTAAACATGATTTAATGACTCGTAAATGTAAGTACACATTGATGACCTAAGACACGAAACGAGCAGTTTGTGTGAGAAAACTGTCTTCTGTCTTTTCCGGAAAGCGCCGGAAGTGATCTCTCGCGCGTGTACGTCACTCATACAATTGTTTTATTTTTTTAATTGTTTTCTTTTACGACGGTTTAAACATCCCGGATAAGCGCAAATTAGTACCATTTTAATTAGCCGTCTTACCTACAATCTCTGTTCTGTGTAAACAATAAGTGACGTACACGCGCGAGAGATCACTTCCGGCGCTTTCCGGAAAAGACAGAAGACAGTTTTCTCACACAAACCGCTCGTTTCGTGTCTTAGGCCATCAATGTGTACTTACATTTACGAGTCATTAAATCATGTTTAATTTGGACTTCTCTGTGCATGCTCTTTGAGGTGGTGACCATAGACCTGCATTATATGACTGACAGACAAGAACGCTTTGACCTTAAAATATCAAAATTGAAACTACTGCGGAAACAAAGACACCGACATCTTGGATGCCCTTGAGGTAAGCTAAAACATACCAAAAATTAATTTCAAAGTGAACTATCCCTTTAAGGCTTTATATCTCACAGTGTGACGTTTTATCTTCTTTCATCAGTCACTTGTGAGGTTTCATGAATTGTAAGAGAAGTATATGAAGTAAGGCCTATGCAAACACTACATATGTTTGAACAGAGCTTTTAATACGCGATCACATGATACCTGTTACAATGTCTTTGCAGAGTCCTGGTTGCTAGGAGCTTGGCATGGGGGTTTTGCTGCCATCATCTGATCCTTAGGAAAGGCAGGAGCAGACATTAGCATGTGTAACGTGTAAGTGTTTTAAGCAGACGCTTCTTCACAGCATCTTTACCTTGTGTTGTGTCATCAAGATGATCTGGTTTGTCGTGTGTTTGAGAAGCAGCATCTGTAAACAGGAGGAATCAAATGCTTTCGGTATGACCAAAATTCTCTACATTTATTATTACATGTATGCATTGGGCAGACACTTTTATCCAAAGCAACTTTATATTTTATGTGTCTTATTAGTAGTTCATGCACGTTAGTTATGTTGTTAGCGCCCGTCTTATAGATCTATACTCCTGCTGTATGTCAACATCTGTCTTATTTGTGTCTCCTAAGGAATTTCGGGAGGAAAAAAATAAAAAAATCTGAAAGAAAATGGACTTACCCGTGGCATCTTCAACCCCGACTTCATCACCATGGGAATCACTGTCATCGTCATCTAAACACAAACATGCAAAGGATTTGAGTTTTGCCCATTCAGAGAGTAGTGACCAGTGATCTAACAGGTAACAGCTACTTTTACAGTTTATCATTTATTAAATATTTGACATAATATGGGGAAGTTACGTGCCAAAGTTTAATACTTAGGTTCAAAAGCAATAGTAATAATTAGGGCTGTCAGTTAAACGCGTTATTAACGGCGTTAACGCAAACCCATTTTAACGGCGTTAATTTTTTTATCGCGCGATTAACGGTCTTTTTGGCCTAGCAAACTTTGTAGTTTTTTTCACATGCTTTTGCAACAGGACACGGCATGCGTGGCGCTGCGCTATGAAACCCATTCATTTCAATGGCTTGTGCCCTGTCTATGTTTGCGCCGCGCGAGGACGTTTTGTTGCTTCGTCGACCAAAGCGCAAGCGGATCTAGCTAGACCGGGAACAAAACAACAGGCACGACGCACACACTTGTTTGAGCTTGCGAGCCGGCCAAATAGTAGGTTAACATTAAGTTTTGAGTGGATGACGAGCGCGAGACGCCGAAATGGATGCCAATAAGATTCTGAATGGAAAGTTTGCTTTTAAAAAGTTGCCAAATGGTTCCATTGACGAGACCAAAGCGATCTGTGTGTTTTGTCGTTGTGAACTGAGCTATCATCATCGCAGCACGTCCAGTCTGAAATACCACTTGATGATGGCCAAGCACACACACACACACACACACACACACACACACACACACACACACACACACACACACACACACACACACACACACACACACAGCTGATGTGAATTCTCCGCCCCCCTCATCAATATCAGGACCTCGTCAGTATTTCTTTCACCCTTTTATTAATGGACAGTGTTACATTGTGTGAGAGATTATTTGCTCCAAGTGAGAATGTTAGTGTGAAATTGAACACAGTATATGCCAATGTTGTTTTCAATAAAAAACATTTGCACAAAGCAAGCCGATCCACTTTTCCATGTTAATAAGAGCATTAAAATGAGAAAAAAATAATGGGACAAAAAGAAATCAAGAGACATTTAGAATAGATAAAAATGTGCGATTAATCGCGAGTTAACTATGACATTAATGCGATTAATCGCGATTAAATATTTTAATCGTTTGACAGCACTAGCAATAATGTTAACCTTAGTAAACAACATAACTGAAGTGCTTTAAACCCATGAGACGTACCATCTAAAGCATGGCTGTCTGCATCAGTGATGTCATCAGTGTGTTCCTCTAGAGTTGGCAAAAAATTCAAGAGACATTTAATACTTTGTACATGATAACGGCATCATGTGACTCTTACATGCTTAGTTAATAAACATATTTACCGTGGGACATTGTAGCATCTGAGTCATTTTCATGGTCATCTAGAAGAAGAAAAAGATTGAGCTTCATCATGTCTTACACACGTCGCTTTAGTGAGAATCATTTGTTTGTCCATGCTGAAATCACAAATGCTGTGCGATGCAACTTTGTTCTCCACTGACGGCCATTCAGAAGTAGCGAGCCACGTACAGTAAAACTCACATTTTATATTGCTTAACCAGTGCCTGATTCTTTTTTGAGGCTTTATATTTTTCCCTGTCAGCTGTTTTTCACGTCACAGATCATCAGAGTAGTCTTGTGAACTCGTGAATAAAAGAAGAAAACTCCTCAGGTTTACATGGAGTAGACGGGATTCATCACTTGTTGTGTTGTGCATCACATCTGGTTCTCAGTTAGCATTGAAATATGATGCTGATTTTCATTCTTCACAGAACATGTTAACAGGGAATGCTGTGGTTTGGCTTACCAAGGGAATCAGCAGAATCGTTTGTCTCTATTGATGCAGCTTCAGGAGAATCTGTAGGTTTAGACAGTTATATATGACACTTTCCTAACTTTGTTCTGTAACAGTGACAAGTTTAAATCTATAGAAGCCTGTTTTCTTTCTTTATTTTTATTTCACAGTGTGACTTTATATCTCACAATATGACTTGGTATGTCACAGTTGTGACTTTATCTTCAATTGACTTTATATCTCACAATATGACTTTATTAATCACAATATGACTTTATCTCACAATAAGACTATATCTTCAATTATGACTTTATATATCACAAAATGACTTTTATATTTCACAATATGACTTTATATCTTCAATTATGACTTAATATCTTACAATTAGGACTTTGTATGCTTAAGAATGACTTTATATCTCACAATATGACTATATCTTCAATTATGACTTTGTTAAATTATGACTTTATATGTTAAATTATGACTATATTTCACAATTATGACTTTATATCTCACAATATCACTATTTTCAATTATGACTAGATTTCAATTATGGCTTTATATCTTCAAGTATGACATTATATCTCACAATTATGACATTATATCTCACAATTATGACTTTATATCTCACAATTATGACTTTATATCTCACAATTATGACTTTATATCTTACAATTAGGTCTTTGTTTATATCTCACAATTATAAATATATCTTACAATATGACTTTATTAATCACAATATGACTTTATCTCACAATAAGACTATCTTCAATTATGACTTTATATATCACAAAATGACTTTTATATTTCACAATATGACTTTATATCTTCAATTATGACTTTATATCTTATAATTAGGACTTTGTATGCTTAATAATTACTTTATATCTCACAATATGACTTGGTATGTCACAGGTGTGACTTTATCTTCAATTGACTTTATATCTCACAATTAGAACTATATCTTACAATATGACTTTATTAATCACAATATGACTTTATCTCACAATAAGACTATATCTTCAACTATGACTTTATATATCACAAAAATGACTTTTATATTTCACAATATGACTTTATATCTTCAATTATGACTTTATATCTTACAATTAGGACTTTGTATGCTTAAGAATGACTTCAATATCTTCAATTATGACTTTATGTTAAATTATCACTTTACATGTTAAATTATGACTATATTTCACAATTATGACTTTATATCTCACAATATGACTTTTCAATTATGACTAGATTTCAATTATGGCTTTATGTCTTCAAGTATGACATTATATCTCACAGTTATGACTTTATTTATATCTCACAATTATGACTTGATATCTCACAATTATGACTTTTATATCTTGCAATTATGACTTTATATCTTGCAATTGTCTTTATATCTCACCATGTGACTTTACATCACACATAATGATTGTATGCCATGCAATCAAGGTTTTATATTATAACTTTAAATGTCTCAATTGTGTCTTCATACCGCACAATGTGACTTTATATATGCAGGCCCAGGTGGACATGGGCCTGCATATATATATATATATATATATATATATATATATATATATATATATATATATATTTATATATATATATCAGTAAATACCTTGCTTCTCTTTTTCCACACTGGAGTCCTTGTCTTCATCAGTGTCTGTGGGCATAAACGCATCGATCAATCGATGGATATTATAGTTTGATGACTGTGAAACAGAAAGGATGTAATGTGTACCTTCCCCTCCTGTCTCGGAGCTGTCCGTGACGCTCTTGCTGTCACTATCAGAGCTCTCTGTGTCTGTGGACTCTGTGCTGCTCTTGTCTTTGCCCTGGTCTTTATCATTGCTGTCCGAGTCCGAGTCCGAGTCTGAGTCAGAGTCCGAGTCTGAGTCCAGGCTGGAGTTGTCAGAATCTGGTTTGTCTTCTGTCTTCTCTTCCCGCTGACTCTCGTCAGACTGACTGGCTGTGGCGTCTTCTTTCGAGGCGGCGTCCTCCTTGTCCTGTTCGTCTGGTTTGGATTCATCTTCTTTATCTTTTCCCTCGTCGCTGTCCTTGTCACTGGTCTCCTTCTCTTCTTTGTCGTCCTTCTCTCTGTCTCCATCATCTTCCGTGTCTTTGGGGTCGCTGGTGTTCTCGTCTTTATCCTCAGCGCTGTCTTCGACGTCTGCTTTATCAGAGGAGTCTGCCGTGTCCCGGTCCGGAGTGTCGCTGTCAGAGTCCGGGTCTTTCTCTTTCTTCTCGGTGCTGTCTGTGTCTTTCACATCTGAATCCTGCTCTTTGGAATCGTCTGAATCTTTCAGCTCGCCGGTGTCCGAGTCGCTGTCCGTGTCGCCTTTCTCTGGCGTCTCGGCGGTTTCTCGACCCTCGTCCTCTGAGTCTTTGCTAGAGTCGTTGCTGGAGTCTTTCTCGTCTTTCTCGTCGCTCTTTTCATCTGTGTCTCCATCTGTTTTGTCTTTGTCAGAATCTGGGTGTAAAAAGTTCATTTTTATTAATATGGATCATCTAACTGAGATGAATTATTATAATTACAGACAAATAACTTCATTAACCAGTGAAGCCTAAACTTACAAAAAAGTACCATGGTTTGTTGATTGTACTACTACCTTACCTATTACCGTGGTAATACCATTGTAAATTGATATATACCACCAACGTACTATTCGTGCACTATTTATATAACAATCCAAGGCACATATTGAATGTCAAAAAATATAGTATTATGATTGTACACGTGAAAAAATAAATGGATTTACCATTGTACCAGGTACAAAAAAAACAGGTACTTTATTTACTATAATAGGCATCATATTTAAATTAATAAAAAAAAGTTAAATCATATCACTTCCATGTTAATAAGTTTATAATGTTTATACATTTTTCCAAACCAATTTTGAAGCAATAAATATTTTGTCATGTCATGCTGGATAGCCTCGCCCTCACTTATCTTATTTAATCACAATTAAATATCACTTCAAATGTGTTCTGACAGGGTTATTATATTAATTATATTTCACTAAAACTAAAATAAACTTTATGGTTTTAGTTAATAAAATCGTAGTTCTAGTTATATTAGTTATAGTGTAGTTAAATTAGTATATATATGTATATATATCTACAAAATATTAATAAAAACTATAATAGTACTTCAATGATACTAAAATAGCACTGGTTCTGACTGGTTTGGAGTCAGGACACAAAGAGTACTTGATACTGTAAACTTGTTGCATTGGACCTTGTCAGTGTTATTCCTTTAAGGACTTTTTAAGAGCAAGAATCCTCTTCTTTTGTTTGGTTCTGAAGTTTAGAAATGAGTCACAGATGTTCTTTTGTGTATTTTAAGCTCACCATCAGAGTCCTGCTGCTCATCTGTGTCTGAATCTTTCTCAGATGAGTCATCGGTACCTTCTGCATCCGAGCAAATACAATAACATAACTGTCATTAGTCACAAAACATCTCTAACTTCAGGCTAAATCACACTTTCATTCAGTCAGCTCCTTAAATCGAAACTATTTTGAAAGATGTTTTAAACAAAATTGGTAACTGAAACAGCTGAAATAAAAATATTAGATGAAAAAAACTATACTAAAACTTATACTGAAATAAAAATAAATTAAAGCTAAATAGAAACATTTAAATTATATATATATATGTTTAACAAAAGCACGTAACAACATACTCAAATTTAAACTAAAGTAAAAACTAATTAAATATATGAATGGATACTATAATAGTATATTTATAAAATGCTAAAATAGCACCGATTTGACACTGTTTGAATTAAAATAGTCCTTTCTGCACCTGTCGAAGTTTTGTTTGCATCATCGGGCGAGTCATCAGACTCGCTCTTCTCCACACTAGCAGAATCCCCGTCTGAAAGCACAGAGCATGCCAAGATTGTTTCAGCAACGATGTATCATTTCGCTGTGAGAAAAGAGCGACTGTGCCAAGTAGGACGTGTTCCTGGAACATCTTTTGTTGGTGCTTGAACAATGTTCATGGCAACAAAACATAGTCCTCCTCCTCACTGTATAACCATTAACTACCGCCAGAGGGGAACGGCGGCTTGATAAGAATGTTGTTCAGGAATCAACTACAGAAACATGAGGAAACTCTATACCTGTGTCGACCGAACCAGTGTCCACCTTCTCATCCGAGTCTGTTTAATAGTGAGACAGTAAATCATTACTTTCATTACACACACACACACACACACACACACACACACTTTGGAATATAAGAGTTTTAATTCTCTAATGTTTGGAAGTGCTTGTTTTCGGAACTGACATGTTGTTTTCTTAAAAAAAAAAGGTTATTTTTATCATTCCAAAACTATGATATTATTTTTCAATGGACCAGGAATTGATAAATTAAAGTTTCTTTAAAAATTATTCTTTTTGTGTTCCATGAAAGAAATAACAGGTGAATAAATAATAGTGTGTTTTTGAAGTTTTCATCTAATATTTACATTTTATTTTCAATATTCAGATTTATTTCAATACCACTTTTTATTTATTTATTTAGTTTTAGTTAAATTAGTCATTTTATATTTAGTTATTTACATTTTTATTCACATTTTTTAGCATTGAGTTGTACAGACGGGTAACTCTGTCTCTGTTCTGGGTGTTTGTTTACCTGCGGATTCCTTCTCCTTTGAATCTGTATCAACACGATCTGCATCTGAAATATTATATGACACATTTAGATTGACTTGACACCGTCTCATAGAGACCGTCTGTTTCATTTCACACGCCTTCTCTTACCTGTGCTGTCCTCCGCCGATGGTTTCTCACTGGTCTCATCTGCAGCAATAATAATAATACAGTATTTTTTACACGTGTAGATTCTGTATATTATGAAAATACATATTTGTCTTTCACCCACCTGAATCGCCTGTCTTCTGCTGCGATGCATCGGTTTCTGTTTTCGTTTCTGTGTCTGTGTCTTTGTCCACATCAATATCTGTTGTGTCTGTTTTAAATCAAGACACACATAAATAAATAACTGCACAACTAATATTTGTTATGAATTATATATCGGAATGGAATGTCTTTGGATCCTATGTGTTTTAATTGCGTATCCTTCACTTATGGTAATACCATGGTCCTTTTTTAAGGGAAATAATACAATGTTGTGTTTCAAGATGTTTTTTTAGGAAGTGAGGGATGCATTTTGCACATTGCATTGCTGTGTGTTCAGGAAAGGGATGCACAGGTAAAGTTGTACCTGTGGAGTCTGGGCCGCTGGTGGCTTCATCCAGGCTTGTGTCACCTGGAATCAGTCGAGCTGTTAGTTTGAGCAATGCTTCACTCGAGGCCATTTCAAACTAACACTTTATTTTGATACAAGTAACTTTGCAACTATATATCAACTTATTCTACTAACACCTAACCCTAACCTTACAGTCTATTAATACTATAATGAGAGTTAGTTGACATGTAATCTGTAATCTGGATTATATAATCAGATTACAAAAATAAATACTCGTAATCAGACTATAGTTACTTTATTGATTATATAACTACATGTTTTTCTCACAATGGGAGTCAATTATTCATAAATCATTGATTCTTCCTACCACTAAATTTATTTTTATCTTTTAAACTTTCCTTTCTATAAAAGTCGACTGCTTATGTACGTTCAGAAGCTCTTCCAGGTTTGTGGAATCGCACACACAGACCAGCCACTTTAGTCATGTGACTCGCTGAACACTGAGAGCCACAGTATTTGATCACTGATTTACACTAATCATTTCACTTTTAACAAGCGTTTACTCAACATTGCAACACTGCATATCGAATCAACTCCTGACGGACACAGTAATCATTATTTAAATCAGTGTCATTTAACCATGTATCACTGTCTTTGTCTTTCAAATATTTGTCTTAAAATATTTCATATTTCACCATTTCATATTTACATGCAATGCAGGGATTCTTCAACTTTTTTGTCAGCTAAACCTCTTTGATTTAATATATTTACTCAAAGTATACCTCCTGAGACTTTAAGTTAACAAGTTAGGTCAATAAAAAATTAAATAAATAATAATAATAATAATATAATTAAATTAAGTTCTCTGTTCTTTGATGTTGGTTAATGGTCACATGACATGTATTTATTTGTGTGTCATTTAATTCATATTTTCATTAAACTCACAAACCCTTCACGAACCCCAGAAACCATGATGTTATGTAATATTTAATGCACTTCATGTTGTTGATAACAAAGAATGGAATATATTTTACAAGATTGTGTTCAAAATTAATGTGATAAACGAGTTAGATCAAAAGTAGTGCTCACAATTAATCGCATCTAACATAAAAGTTTTGTTTATATAATATATCTGTTTATGTATATATATATATATATAGAAATATGTGTGTGTGTGTGCATATGCATATGAATAAGAACGTGTAATGCAGTGGATTACGTTACAATTTTTGTTGTGTAATTGGGAACCAGTGACTGACTACAATTTGAAAGTAATCTTCCCAGCACTGGTAGTTGCAAAGTTACTTCTACAGTATTTAGCAGAATTTCTAAAGTGGATCATGAAAATAAAGTGTAACCAAAGATTTGAGAAGTCAAGTCTTACTGTTTGTGTCTGGTGTGTCAGGAGCTCCATCGGCCTCTTTATAAAGAGAGAAAATTATTAGAAAAGAAAATGATAAAAGTTATTCATGTTGTTCCTAGTGTCGTTAAAAAGTGGTTTTCACTCCTTAAAATGATTGCTAATGTGTTAACATACACGTATAGGCCTTGTTTTCTGTATAATTCAACATCATAATGACTCAATCCAAGAATGTAATCAATTAAAAGATTGTATCCTGGTTCACAGCATCAACAAAGATTACACATCTCCATCCTTTTCATTAATCATTAATTCTCATTCATTGATAATGTGGGTCATAAATAAAACCTTCTGTTGTGTTTTCCGTCCTGTTGCCATGGCATTATTCAGGAGAGATTGAGTGTGACACTTTTGGACCGCAAACATAAATGATTGTTTTAATTCACTCTAATCTTTTCCCGTTGACTGACTACGTCCTGCTTTTCCAACTAATACCAATTCTTCTAGTTCACTGATGTTGAACGGATGGCGGTTAAACATTAATCCGTGCGTGTTGTGTTATCACACTCATTGATGTGTTATCGTGATATCAGTGCTTTCTGTTGGCACTTGTGAAAGCTGTGTGCTCCAGCGCTCAGGTCATGTGTTCTTTCTCTCTTTTATGTGCTGTACGTCTAGACGCTCGATACCAGAAACTGACCTGGTTTTTCAGTAGTGTCAGACGAGTCGCTGGGACCTGAAATCACACACAAGTTCTGGTGTCGTTTTGAAGTTTGGTGTCATGTTTGTATATACCTGTTCACTCTTTTGGCAAGAGTTTCTTACCTCCTTGTTTCTCTGATGAATCTTTCCCATCCGTAGTTCCTGCAAAAGAAAGTTTTCCAAAGTTATATTTGAGCGTCTGTCTTGTTAAAGATTACTTTGCTTTTATATATAATTTCTTTATAGCTTTACTCCGTTTGAGTCATTTTAGTACATCAACTAAAACGGACTTTTTAAAGATATTAAGTTTTGCTAATTTTGTGTGTGTTTGTCACTTTTATTCGTTTTCTCATATTTCTATTTAGATTTATTTTATTTTTAGTAATATAATATACTTCAACCTTTCTCATTTTTGTTTACATTTATAGGGTTTTTCATCTAATATTTATATTTTATTTGATTATATTTTTAGTTTAAGTCCTCTTGTGGTGAAAATCAAGCTTTTAATGTTGTTTATATGTCTATGTGGGGTTTTTAATATGCTTTAACTCAAACCATTTGCAAGTTCATAAGTCGACAGCATTGCTAAATAAATTCTCCTTAAAACTGCAGTGAAATTGTCAAAAACACGGTTTGAAATCGCTGGTGTTTCTGACAAACTACCTTGTAACCAATCAGATCAACGATCTCTGAGCTGATGCGAGTGAGTGGAGGCGGGGCTCATTTGCATATTAATAGCACCACGTATACTAAATGAGGCAAGGGTGTAGAGTTACATTCAAGCTATTTTAAGGCATGAAGAAATGCCCCTTTTTTTCAAGGAAAACCCGTTTAAATATGTAATTTTGGTGTTTGGAGTTTTAAGGGATCAAATTATTGACTACTGGGGGACTTTAACCATAACAACACTACCATCCGTCTAAATATCGATGGACTTTTCTGCAGTTTATTTACAATTTTTATAGCAAGACTTCTATCCAGACCAACCTGAGTCTCCATTTACAGGGACTGGAGTTGGAAGAGCTTCAGTAAACTGACCTGAAAAGAGAGGAAAAACATGTTTTTCAGATGATCTGGAAAACCTTCTGTGGTCCATTGATTTATAGATCAAATTCATTGCGACCTACCAATGAAGATATCTGACAGGGCTGCGGCCCACTCTGAGATTATAACAGAATAAAAAACCCAATCAGTGACATAAACCAGATGGCATTCGTTTAGGAGTTCATATCGAAATTTCTGACTTTTAATTGCAAGCGTTGCTGAAATCTCGTCTGAAACTCTAAAGGAGACGCATGATGTGAGGTTCCTGGGGTCTTTTTCAAAGAATTGTGATTTCATCCCATTTCTATCTTGAGGAACAACTGATGTTTTCCATCTGTAATGTCTTTCTTGAACAATTGTAGTAGTACAATGCAGTTCATTGTTCTTACACAGCTCATGCATTCAGGGGCAATAAGTAACTTAAAATGTGAAATCATAATTATGAAGGGCAATGTGCATAAGAGAAATACTCTTACCGTCATTATCTGTTCCATCTGTGTCAAAGCAAAAGACAAACAGTTAGTTAGTGGAGTGAGTGCATTGAGCTATAAGACTGCGCATATCTATAGAGGCCCAGGCTAAATGTCCCGGGACAGGTGAACAAAACTCTTTTGTGTTCTGTGACGGGCTCTGATTACACTCGTTATAGGGAGGCAGAGCATGCTTCATGTTACTTAGAAAGAAGAGCCGGTACACGTCACTAATAATAATTTAGGGATTCTGGGTTATGTGGTACGGTATATATGTGACAGATGTAACGATGCCAGATTCCTTACCGTTTATTGGTGCAGAAATAGAGACGCCCACTAATGCAAAGATCAACGGGACAACCAGCGTCCTTTAAAACAGGAGAAAAAACGAAATCATGCAAGTGTTCACAAAAACATCTCATCTAAAATTAATAAATAATCTAAAATTAAAAGAATATATATATATGTGTGTGTTACAATCATTAACAATTTCAAAAAACAAATGAATAAACAAAGTGAATACATCTTTTTAGGAAACAAAAACACAATACTGATTCAAATTGAGGACCATCTTTGATGCACATAATTTGTATCACACAATTGAACATCTCAGTAAAACACGTACATTTAAAATCATAGATAGATAAACGGTTGATAAATGTTTCATTTTGGTCTAAATGTTTGGCGTGATCTCTTTTGCTCATAACCTGTGAGTTAGTAAAGATCCATGCCGATACAGACATTAGACTAGTTAGAAACCAGTGCACTGCTGCGCTCACCACATCAATATATTATTCCCATTGTTTTCACAGACTTTTGCATCTTTGTAAATATGTATATAACGAATCACTGAAAGGAAATAGCTTTCGGCACAGAGACATTAAGCCTGCGTTTCCCAAAAACAGTGTGAGCGAAGTAAATCAGAAGAGACCTTCGATCTACTCAGGCTTACGATGCTTCTGGGAGACCTAGCCAAGGTTGCTGAGAGTAAAGGAGACACTTGTACTCACCGGGACAGCATTGCAATAGCACAGGAATGCAGTGTGAGATTGACGCAGGTGATCAGGTCTAAAGCCCGACTGGAGCTGCTCTCAGATGTTTTATACTCTCGGAGGGGGTTGAGCTAAAGACTGAGGCGTTACATGAGACCCTCTAAAGCTCCGCTCATTAGAGCAGGGTTATGAAGGCAGGCCGTCCTGCTATTGTTTGTGTTTTCAAACAGCCTTTGTAAATGGTGTAGCTTCAGTGTCCCAGTCCTGGTGTCTCTGTCTCGACGGGTCTCGCCCGCTCCTTTGTGTTTCCCTCCAGACGTTTGATTTAGTTGATTTGAGGAGTTCTTCTCAGGAAGGAAACAAAGAGGAGCTGGGCTGGACATGCGGATGGTGTTCGCGTCAGAACTTCTGTCCTCCTTTCTTCTGTGTGGCACAGAATGATCTGTTAATATACTTTTTTGCATTTAAACAACAAATGCTGACTTTCACATCAGACCAGGAGTGTCAAACTCAGCGTTTAAGGCCTCGATGTACACTCTTTCGTTCGTCAATAAAATTACGTTCGAAATATGTGACTAGCAAAATACTTTTAGTGATCAAATGACAGTGAGAGTGGCGTTTATATGTGTAAATAGACTCGTCGATAGATATGTTTAGACATGTAAATAAGTGCTGCGCGCTCAATAAAAAAATTGAGAAAGCAGCAAACATTTTAATAACACATAAGAGAAGCGAAGTGATGTGGATATGATTGCACGAGCTCTGCAATTCAGCGCTCCAGTACGTCACATTTATTTATAAAGCACTTTATATAATTGATTGCTTCAAATTAAGCAGCTTTACCACATTAGACATGTACAACAGAGTCAGTATCATATTTCATCAACTTGAAGTACAAATTCATTTTCTACTATAAAGCAGCTCCTCCGGGGTGTGTTGATGTTTTCACTCACAGACGTCTGACCTCGACGAACTCAACAGAAGAAATGAACCGGAAAAGATTTCCTCGTGAAAGAAGGCGAAGCCTCCACACACACCTACCTATTACATCATCGTCCCGGACCAATGGCGGCACAGAGGTGTTTATCGGCCGGAGCGAAAGTTTGTTTTCTCCTAAAGCGAACTCAACAAAATTCAATTTCGAAATGACGTCACATCAATTCGTCCTTATAGTATATCGGGGCCTTTACACGACAACAATGTACTAAACATGGATAAAGTTGATCGCGTACAGACGGCAATGTTGTCAAAATGATCCCTGTTCACACGGATCCGCGATTAAAAACGATTAAAAAACGCTGTATTCTGCTGCCAGGCCAGTAGGTGGCGATGCCATTTTGTAAAGAAACACTACGCGTCTATAGACTGAACATGTAAAGCCCAGTTCACACTACATGATTTTAAAACGTCGGGCTGAACTGTGCGGTTCACACTACATGACTTGCTCTCTGTGAAATCAGGAGAGTTCAAGTTGTTGAGCTGTTCACACCACACGACACAACGTGATTGATCCGCGACAGGAGGTAACGCACTACACGAGTTGACAACAACTCTGTCACCCAACGATTCAATCTTGTCTACAAACCACGTTTTGTCACAAAAAATCACCGGAAAAAAAAACCGGAAATGAAATGAAAAAAACGGAAATGACGCGAAACAGCACGCGCGCCAATACCCAGCGAAGAAGAGGAAGAAGAACACAACACGCGAACATGCCTTGCTCTGATTGGCTGTAGCTCATGACATCACTGAGGTTGAGTCGTGCGACAGCTCTGGATATCTAGCATGCTAGATATTTTTCTGGGCTCGGCGACGCATCTGCGAGCGTCTTTAATGCGTTGTTGGCTCTTTCATACTAACAGATTGGCGAGCGTCCATCGTCCGCTAATCCCCCGCGATTTCCACGCGATAACACCCTGACCTGTCGGCGAGCTCAACGATTTGCAAATCGGGCTTAAAATCATGTAGTGTGAACTAGGCTCAACCTCACTCATTATATGCAGCCAATCAGAGCAAGGCATGGGTTGAGGTCACCGGGTAAATCTTATTTTGTCTTTTTTTGCGTTTTTTCAGAGCAAATCATTGCGCAAACAGTTTGCAGCACTAGTTTCTGTCTGACGTCCATATTCGCGTTTTGTGTTCTTTTTCTTCTTCATGTAGTGTGAACTAGGCTTAAGTGAACGGCCAAAATGCATATAAAGTTTTCTGTTTTTAGTTGAAAACGGCGTCGTGTAAAAAAACAGCCCCTCAGTTTGGTTCCAACCCTGCTCATACCTGTAGTTTTCAGATAAGGCTGCATTATAGCTTGATTGAGTTTATTAAGGGTTTAAGCTGAACTCAGCAGGACTGTGGCCCTCCAGGAACTCAGTTTAACACCCCTAAGGTGTTGTGGGGTTTATAGGGTCTGTCGAGGTCAGGAATGGGCCACTTCGGTCCTAGAGGGCCACAGTCCTGCTTGTTTCAGCTCCAATACACCCGAACAAGCTAATCAACGTCTTCAGGATCACTAGAAAGCTACAGGAAGGAGTTTAATCAGGATTTAAGCTAAACTCTGCAGGACTGAAGTTCCCCATTCCTGATCTAGGTTTGCTTAAACCTTTTGGTTACTACTTTAGCTGAAACCACTAACAAGTTACAAAACACATGAACACATAATTACGGAGCCCCTAAAGGGACACGGTGAAGAAGGAAAATATGATATGGGAGGAAAAATAATAAGTCAATGCTTTTGCGTTCTCTCTCCAAATGTTTGCATTCCCTTGAGAAACTTTGCATTCGCTTTCGAGGAAACGCAAAACAATTGTGACAGAACGCAAAAGCATTGACTTATTATTTTTCCTCCCATATCTCCGTACATAATCATAGCCGTATGACTTGTTTTTCTCATTGCATTGTTTTTCCCCCCAATATTTTTTGCATCATTTATTTATTTATTTTCTTAAATATTCTGCAATATTAGTAATGTACATTTAAATGAAAAATAAAACAATTTAATTGAACAAATTATTTTTTGAATATTTGTATTATTTATAAGCTTGGTTACTTGAAATAAAATTACATTTTAATTTGATAAATAATTTTTATTTATTCGTTAAGCTATTTATGCATCTATTAGATGTTTAAATAGTCTGTAATGTCAGTGGTCTTCATTTAAATTAAATCATTTTATTTTAACAAGTTAATTTTTAATTTATTTATTAAGCTATCTATTTATTTATTTTAGCTTGTTTGCATAGCCTATAAGGTAATCTTAATTTAAATTAAAATAAAAACAAGTTTAATAAATTATTTATTATTATTATTTTAGCAATTTAATATTATTTGTTTATTTGCTTGCTTGCTTAGTAAGGTCTTCACTCTAAAAAATGCTGGGTTGTTTCAACCCAAATTTGGGTCAAATATGGACAAACCCAAATGTTGGGTTAAAAATGTCATTTAAAATTTTAACCCAACTTCAACTTTCACTTTCAACTGTAATTTTTTTTATTACATTTTTAACCCAACATTTGGGTTTGTCCATATTTGACCCAAATTTGGGTTGAAACAAGTGTTATTGTGGCATTTTATATTTGTATTGATTTATCTTGCCATCGATTTATTTGTTTGTTGATACTTTTATTTATGTTTCCAATAGATTGATCTGAGTAGTGTTGGACCGCATGTAAATGAATGTTCCTAATGTGTCGTTGTAAACAGAAATAAGTGGAGAACGGGCAGTAAACGTGTGTTTGGCCTGGAGAGCTTCCGTTTGTCCAGTTGCTCGATCACACAAAGCTTCTTTGTCTCTGCTTTGAGAAATTGATTGAGCTTAAAACACATCCTTGTTGTTGAGAAATAAAGCACATATTCCCGTTAAAGGTCAATCATTCGTTCCTTCTCTTGCACATCCATTCATATTCAGCAGCCATTGACGCCTCAGAGTGCGATTAAATATGCAAACGATGCAGGTTTGGGATGTAAATGAGGTTTTGTTGAGGAAATGAGGTGATTCCTGTGGCCTTTGTAAAGGATCGTGGGGCTTCCCTGCTGACGGTCTCAGATGCAGAGTGTGTGTGTGTGTCACGGCCGTTCCTCTGCTCTTCACACCGCTTTATGATGATGATGATGTACTGCTGACATCAGCACTGGCTAAATTGGGAAACTTGTCTTTTTGAAACAACCTTGAGCGCTTGAATCCGCTGGAATCCACCTAAAGCCATGCAGGAACACGAGAAGCTTCATCACACTGGACCAGCAGATCTCCCAGTGTGTGATGTCATTCATCAGTGTGTGTGTGTGTGTGTGTCAGTGTGAACACGAGTTCCTGAGTAATCATGAGGAATAATCGTTCTTAGCCTTCAAGACTGACTTACATTTACCTTCTTTTTTAAATTTCTCTTCCTTCTGTTTTCCTTAGTTTTTCCTACTTCACATTTATTTCCTTTCCTCTTTACTGTCTTCAATTTCTTCCTTCCTTCCCTTTTCCTGCATCTGTTTCTTCCTTCATTCATTTTACTTTACTTTCTTCTTTTTTCTACAATTTTCCTTCTTTCCTCCCTTCCCCCCTTCTTTCATTTTTCATTGTTTTGCTTTATTCATTTTACCTTCTTTCCTTTCTTATTTTCTTCTACCATTTTCATTTCTTCCTTCATTCCTTCTTTCATTTTTTCATTTTTCTTTCATTCTCTCCTTACTTCCTAAATTTTTCCTGCTTCTGTTTTGCTTAATTCATTATACCTTCCTTCCTTTCGTCTTTTTTCTACCATTCTCCTTCATTCCTTCTTACCTTCCTTCCCTCCTTCTTTCATTTCATCTTTCTTCCAACACTTTCCTTCCTTCATTCATTCCTTCTTAAGTTTTTTTCATTTGCCTTCCTTCCTTTCTTATTTCTCTCCCTATTTTTTCTTCATCTTTTCTGCTTCTGTTTTGTTTTATTAATTTTACCTTCCTTCCTTTCTTTCCTTTCTTCCTTTTTCTACCATTTTCCTTCCTTCCTTTTTACCTTCCTTCCTTCCCTCCTTCTTGCATTTTTCCTGCTTGTTTTGCTTCCTTCATTCATTTTACCTTCCTTTCTTCTTTCATTTATTCTTTTTTCTACAATTGTCCTTCTTTTCTGCTTTCCTCCCTTCCCTCCTTCTTTCATTTTTC